GTTAAAAGTTCGTGATATATACTTGTTTTTGACTAAAAAGTACTTTTTGCCAAATATTTAAATTCTCAACTATGTAATAATAATGGTTATATCATATTTATACGGCAGAAGAAGCCGAATTGAAGTAAGCTAGGTCGTTTAACAGAGCGCCTAACTTGAACTCTAACTAAAATTTTCTTTCTCATTTATGGTTTGTTGATGCCTTTATTATATTTCCATCTCAGAGACACATTTGCGAAGACCAGGATCCACTGCAGGTGCAGGTGTATGTGCAACTCTGCACCATCCCCAACACTTGTTTCTCTTCATTATGCCCCATTCAACCAACCTCTTTCAATTTTCTACTCACTCTTGCATCAATTCTCAAACACCCTTATCCATGTCAAGTCCATCCATGCTCAGATTATTAAGAATTGGGTATCAACTGAAAACTATCTTGCCGCAAAACTCATCAGGGTCTACTCTGATTTGGGTTTTATTTGCCCTGCCCGCAAGGTGTTTGATCAATGTTCTTTACAAGGTACAGCTGTTTGCAATGCCATGATGGCTGGGTTACTGAGGAACCAGCAACACGTGGAGGTTCCCAAGTTGTTCAAAATTATGGTGTTTGGTGATTTAGAAATCAATAGTTACACGTGCATGTTTGCTCTCAAGGCATGCACCAACTTGTTGGATGATGAAATTGGTATGGAAATAGTTATGACAGTGTTTCGAAGGGGGTTTCATGTGCATCCCTATGTTGGTAGTTCTATTGTTAACTTTTTTGTCAAGTGTGGTTATCTTGATGATGCGCGAAAAGTATTTGATGGAATGCCGGAAAAGGATATTGTATGCTGGAATTCTATCATTGGTGGTTATGTGCAGGAGGGATTCTTCAGGGAGGCAATTAAACTGTTCCTTGCGATGATTGGTGGTGGGTTAAGGCCGAGTCCAGTGACAATGGTGAGCTTACTCAAAGCGTGTGGAGAGAGTGGACTTAAAAAACTAGGAACCTCTGCTCATGGTGTTCTCATTGCTTTAGGCATGGGGAATGACGTATTTGTGCTTACTTCGTTGGTTGATATGTATAGCAATTTAGGTGACACAGACATTGCTGCTTTGGTTTTCAATGGCATGTTCAATAGAAGTTTGATTTCGTGGAATGCTATGATTTCAGGATATATTCAAAATGGTTTGATACCTGAATCTTTTGCACTCTTTCGTAGACTAATCCAAAGTGGTTCTGGGTTTGATTCTGGGACCTTGGTGAGCCTCATTCGAGGATGTTCTCAAACATCTGACTTGGAAAATGGAAGAATCCTCCATGCTTGTATTATAAGAAAAGGAATTGAATCGAACATAGTTTTGTCCACTTCAATTGTTGACATGTATTCTAAATGTGGTGCCATAAAGCTAGCAACTATTGTTTTCGGAAGAATGGAGAAAAGGAATGTAATTACATGGACTGCCATGCTGGTGGGTTTATCTCAAAATGGCTATGCAGAGGATGCCCTTAAATTATTTTTTCAAATGCAAGAAGAAAAAGTTCCCGCCAATTCTGTCACTCTTGTTAGCCTTGTGCATTGTTGTGCCCACCTAGGATCCCTCAAGAAAGGAAGGAGTGTCCATGCTTATTTGATCCGACATGGCTATGCATTTGATGCAGTTAATATGTCAGCATTGCTTGATATGTATGCCAAGTGTGGTAAAATTCGCTCTGCTGAGAAGTTATTCAATAATGGTTTCCATTTAAAAGATGTTATACTGTGTAACACTATGATTATGGGTTATGGAATGCATGGTCTTGGGCATTATGCTCTATCTTTATACGATAGAATGATAGAGGAAAGTCTCAAGCCAAGTCAAACAACATTTATTTCTTTGCTAACAGCTTGCAGTCACTCGGGCCTTGTTGAAGAGGGTAAGGCTTTGTTCAACTGTATGGAACGGGATCATAATATTAAGCCTCAGGACAAACACTATGCTTGTGTTGTGGATCTTCTTAGTCGAGCAGGCCGCCTCAAGGAAGCAGATGCTCTGGTGAAACAAATGCCCTTCCAACCCAGCACAGATGTGTTTGAAGCTTTGCTCAGCGGTTGCAGAACCCATAAGAATATTAACATGGGGATACAGATAGCAGATAGATTAATTTCCTTAGATTACTTGAACTCTGGAATTTATGTCATGTTATCAAATATTTATGCTGAAGCAGGAAGATGGGAATCAGTGAATTACATACGAGGCCTCATGAGGATGCAGGGTCTAAAAAAGGTACCTGGATATAGTTTGATAGAAATAGGGAATCGGGTATACACATTTTTTGCTAGTGACGATTCACATCCTCGTTGGTCAGATATTTATCAAGTATTAGAAAATTTGAGACTCGAGGTGGAGGCAGAAGGTTACATTCCTGATACTAGTTGTGTTCTTCGTGATGTAAATGAGCCAATGAAGGTTAAGTTACTCTGGGGACACAGTGAGAGACTAGCCATTGCATTTGGTCTTTTAAGCACTCCATATGGAAGCTTGATTAGGATCACAAAAAATCTTCGTGTATGTGTTGACTGTCATACTATTACCAAATACATATCAAAAATAGTTCAGAGGGAAATTATAGTCAGGGATGCTAATCGTTTCCATCACTTTGTTAATGGGAAATGCTCATGTAATGACTACTGGTAATGAGGACTTATTGAAAAGTTTTGAGCAAAAGTAACAAAAGCTTCCTTAATGAGAATGAACATGACTAATGTCACCCCTTTGGTACCCTTCTATTCATTACATGCTTATAATAAGAGAACTATAGTTATTTCATCGTTTAACTTTACCAACCAGTCAATTGTGTTAGTGCGGTGTGTTGTAATTCTTTTTTTACATATGTGGGAATCACTTTAGAAATTCCATACTTTGGTAGTTGTGTAGGTAACATGGGAGTTGGTGAACTTGACAATCGTCTCAATTAGTTAATCATGGCAAGAACATTAGAACTCTTTGGAGATTTGGTAAACTCCTGAAGTCCTCTCTATTTGAATGTTGTATTTCAGTATTTGAAGTTTTCATTTAAAAACTCTTTTATGTACTTTGTATGAACATATGAAACTAGGGGGACAATGACGTAGTTTTTAAAAGTAAAGATTAAAGAAAACACTTTAATTTTAAATGAATTTTTTGGGTTAACATAATTTTATAAGAAATACTGGACAATTTAGTTTTTAAGAGAGTTTGACAGTTTCAAATTATTTTTTAATGTTAATTTTTTAAGAATTCTAAAATATTTTTTATTTTTACAGATGTTGTCTTCCAATAGCCACACTAAATATATATATATATATATATATATATATATA